ATGTCTTAGGAGAGCTGCCGGTGTGACAAGAAACGATACAATCAAGAATGAAGAAATTAGAAGAAGACTAGGGCTGAAACCAGTCATACAATTCAACAAAGAAAAAAAAAATAAGATGGTTTGGCCACCTGACAAGAATGCCCTGGTACCAACTGCCACAAAGAGCCACGCTGAAGGGATATTATGAACACAGAGCAAGGGGAAGACCACGCAAGAAATGGAGCGACATCATCAAGAGCGAACTAACAGAAATGAACACCAACTTGTACAATGCATTAGAAAAAGTGCACAAACGATCCTTACGTCTCCCCCAACACCTCACTGAGGTAAATGGTGGAAGAGAAGAAGAAGAAGAAGAAGAAGAAGAAGATATGACAGTCAGGGTTGTTGTGTCATGTGATTACAAGAAAGGCACTGAAGGATACCGCGACGACTGGAAAGATCAACGGCGGAAAAGAGGCAGGCTAAGGCAGATTATGCTTAAAGGTCTGACGTTGTACGGGGCTGAGTGGTCATGAGACATGGCGTCCGACTCGAGTGCTAGAGATTCCGGGTTCAGGCTGGGACGTTTTCACGTGGACTTCTAGTAATTACCCTGGTCCATGTGTAGTGAAATCGGACGCCCGTGTGTACTGTTGCGCACTAAAAAAATCCTTTGGCAGTTGGAAATCGAAAAGAGTAGCCTAACGGCGCTGCCCGGGCAAAATTTGAAATTAAAAATCTACCTAAAGTATTTCAGGATCCTCGCCAGTGCTACGGAGTTCGTGCAATGCGTTGAGATTCTTCGGATTCAGGCTTGGGTTAGAAGAAGAACGGATCACTCACTGATTACTACACTTGTGCCACGATGTTGATCCTTTGCTCAAACAAATGTATGTGACACATACCGGCCTATGCCGGTAAACAGGGAACAGGATGATGATGAGCTGTTATCTAACCTCGAGCCTTACTGAGCAGCGAACACACGCCCTCCAGTATCAGGCGACAGTTCTAACACTCTAGCCTGGGATAGCAGGGTACATCAGGCAGAGCTTGGTATTGTCGTCGTATAGTCGGAGATAACGGAGAGAACTCGTTCAATGAAAAATCTCGGAGTGTGTTTTGATCGTAGTCTTGCTTTTTATGAGCATGTGTTAGTTGCGTATCATTTACATAACTTCCTCCGAAGTCGGAGTACATCTGCCGGAGAGGCGGGGAACGAGTACTGCAAACAAATAAGCCAGTAAAACGGATGTACACGCAAAACTCAGGTCAAGGTAAAAGCCAAAAGTCCATTTTGGACGAACAACCGTGACTTACCGCCGGAATTCACAGCCGGTGAACAAGAAGAAGAAGAAGAATTTACATAACATTGCATAACAAACAGCATCATTTTCTGGCTGTTGTGATTTTTCTACGCACATTTATGTCCGGTAGTTTGCCACTGCTTTCTGGACGGTAAGCTTCTCAATACCACTGTCGAAATCGGCGCAGCAGCCCGGCGTAACGGAAAGCATGTGAACGACATGATCATTAAGGCAAAGGAAGGTTTGACGGCGCTAAGGGGCTGCGACAGCCTGCGCAACGTCACCTATCCACAAGAATCCAAAGAAGAAAAAAAGGGAAGACTCCAAGACAGATGAAATCAATAAGAAACTGACACATTTTTGGAGACAGCATGGAGGTAGCAACAGGAGATACAACAGTTAGGATACCTCAGTGTTAGCTAGCAGAGATTCTAATGATACATCAGTGTTAGCTAGCAGAGATTCTAATGATACATCACTGTTAGTTAGCAGAGATTCTAATGATACATCAGTGTTAGCTAGCAGAAATTCTAATGATACATCAGTTAGCAGAGATTCTAAGAATACCTCAGTGTTAGCTAGCAGAGATTCTAATGATACATCAGTTAGCAGAGATTCTAAGGATACCTCAGTATTAGCTAGCAGAAATTATAAGGATACCTCAGTATTAGCTAGCAGAGATTCTAAGAATACCTCAGTGTTAGCTAGCATAGATTCTAAAGATACCTCAGTGTTAGCTAGCAGAGATTCCAAGGATTTCTCAGTGTTAGCTAGCAGAGATTCTAAAAATACCTCAGTGTTATCTAGCAGAGATTCTAATGATACCTCAGTGTTAGCTAGCAGAGATTCTAATGATACCTCAGTGTTAGTACACAGGGATTCTAAAGATACCTCAGGGTTACCCAGGGGAAATTCTAATGATACCTCAGTGTAAGTCAGCAGATATTCTAAGGAGACCTCAGGGTTACATGGGAGAGATTCTAATAATACATCAGTGTTAGTAAGCAGAGATTATAAGGATACCTCAGTGTTACCTAGGAGAGATTCTAATGATACCTCAGTGTAAGCTAGCAGAGATTCTAAGGATACCTCAGTGTTAGCTTGCAGAGATTCTTATGATACCTCAGTGTTAGTAAGCAGAGATTCTAAGGATACCTCAGGGTTACATGGAAGAGATTCTAATAATATCTCAGTGTCAGTAAGCAGATATTCTAAGGATACCTCAGGGTTACCTAGGAGAGATTCTAATGATACCTCAGTGTGAGTAAGCAGATATTCTAAGGATACCTCAGGGTTACCTAGCAGAGATTCTAATGATACCTCAGTGTAAGCTAGCAGAGATTCTAATGATACCTAAGTGTAAGCTAGCGGAGATTCTAATGATACTTCAGTGTTAGCTAGCAGAAATACTAAGGATACCTAAGTGTTAGCTAGCAGAGATTCTAAGGATACCCCAGTGTTAGCTTGCAGAGATTCTTATGATACCTCAGTGTTAGCTTGCAGAGATTCTAATGATACTTCAGTGTTAGCTAGCAGAGATTCTAATGATACCTCAGTGTTAGCTTGCAGAGATTCTTATGATACCTCAGTGTTAGCTAGCAGAGATTCTTATGATACCTCAGTGTTAGCTAGCAGAAATTCTAATGATACCTCAGTATTAGCTAGCAGAGATTCTAAGGATACCTCAGTATTAGCTAGCAGAGATTCTAAGGATACCTCAGTATTAGCTAGCAGAGATTCTAAGGATACCTCAGTATTAGCTAGCAGAGATTCTAAGGATACCTCAGTGTAAGCTAGCAGAAATTCTAAGGATACCTCAGTGTTAGCTAGCAGAGATTCTAAGGATACGTCAGTGTAAGCTAGCAGAGATTCTAACGATAGCCCAGTGTTAGCTAGCAGAGATTCTAAGGATACCTCAGTGTTAGCTAGCAGAAATTCTAAGGATACCTCAGTATTAGCTAGCAGAAATTCTAAGGATACCTCAGTTTTAGCTAGCAGAAATTCTAAGGATACCTCAGTGTTAGCTAGCAGAAATTCTAAGGATACCTCAGTGTTAGCTAGCATAAATTCTAAGGATACCTCAGTGTTAGCTAGCAGAGATTCTAAGGATACCTCAGTGTTAGCTAGCAGAAATTCTAAGGAGACCTCAGTATTAGCTAGCAGAAATTCTAAGGATACCTCAGTGTTAGCTAGCAGAGATTCTAAGGATACCTCAGTGTTAGCTAGCAGAGATTCTAAGGATACCTCAGTGTTAGCTAGCAGAAATTCTAAGGATACCTCAGTGTTAGCTAGCATAAATTCTAAGGATACCTCAGTGTTAGCTAGCAGAGATTCTAAGGATACCTCAGTGTTAGCTAGCAGAAATTCTAAGGATACCTCAGTGTTAGCTAGCAGAAATTCTAAGGAGACCTCAGTGTTAGCTAGCAGAGATTCTAAGGATACCTCAGTGTTAGCTAGCAGAGATTCTAAGGATACCTCAGTGTTAGCTAGCAGAGATTCTAAGGATACCTCAGTGTTAGCTAGCAGAGATTCTAACGATAGCCCAGTGTGAGTAAGCAGAAATTCTAAGGATACCTCAGTGTTAGTTGGCAGAGATTATAAGGTCCAATATTGATGAAGGTCAAAACAGAAGCTATATTGGTTTATTTAATGACATGGTCAGGACAAGACCAGTGTTCAGGATCCACGCCGGTGCTAAGGAGTACGTACACTGCGCTGAGAGATTTTTCGAACTCAGGCTTGAGTCAGAAGTAGAACGGAGCACTTATGGGTTACTAGCCTTGTGCCATGATGTTGATCCGTCTAAACCTTAACACACCATCCACTGCAGATTCAGATTTCTGGGAAGAATGGTAGCAGGTTAAGATGAAATTCCTGGATGGGTGAGGTTGAGGACATTATTCAGGTCTGTTCAACTGAGGACATAGAACTTGGGGAAGGAATGGGTACGAGTAGAGGTTACAGGTTCAATTCCCGGCACGGTAACTATAGCTTTCGATTTTTATGTTGTCTAGTGTGTTCTTCTATCTTTCTACTTCTTTCTATGAGTGCCGTTCACAATACTTTCTGTTACTTGATTAGTATACAGTTCGTGGGCTTTCACGGTTCTGGTTCCAGTGAAAACTGTAAAAGAAGACAGCGGAGCTTTTTCCACGACTACAAGTAGTCTGACTATAAAGGTGATGGCGGTAACAAAAGCAATGATGTAGCTAGAGATACAGCATTTTTCCCATGGGTACTTTCTAAGTGATTCCATGAACATGCATAAAAAGATAGAGACAGGATGGATTCGAAAAAAATGGTTGGAGTCGCTGAGGAAATCTCGTCTGATAGGAATCAGTTTCATTGTTGTTACAGGACACTCCGGGGTAAGAGGAAATAAAGGAGCGGGCTTGTTTGTGGGCAAGTCAAAGCAAGGTACAGGAAAAGCAATGGACCGGGCTGAAGTTCGCAATGCTCTCAAGGAGGCAGGGCGAGAAGACAATTCAAAAGAAGACGGTGAATCGGCAACGCTCAAAAGACTACGAGAACTTCAGGTCACAAAAGGTGTCACTAAACATGAACACGTGTAATCAAAGAAGAATAGTAAAACAACACACAACTGGCGTTATCAGTCGCCACACACTGGGGGGCAAACACACACACAGATACTCAGACACACGCATACTGTCTGACCAACAAACATGCGAGAACAAGACAATGGCTGGCACTGACCTTCTCCTTGCAGGTGGCAACCAGGCTGATGGCCAGCCCCATTCTGTTGAAAAAAAAAATTAAATAAAAAAATTAAACACTAATCTACAAAGTGCGCAGTTTCTCCATCTGTTTTCTATGGACCAAGCGCACAGTTTCTGCATCTGTATTCTATAGACCAAGTTCGCAGTTTCTCTATCTGTATACTATAGACCAAGTGCGCAGTTTCTGCATCTGTATTCTATAGACTAAGTGCGCAGTTTCTGCATCTGTATTCTATAGACTAAGTGCGCAGTTTCTCCATCTGTATTCTATAGACCAAGTGCGATGTTTCTGCATCCGTATTCTATAGACCAAGTGCGCAGTTTCTGCATCTGTATTCTATAGACCAAGTGCGCAGTTTCTGCATTGTATTCTATAGACTAGGTGCGCAGTTTCTCCATCTGTATTCTATAGACTAAGTGCGCAGTTTCTGCATTTGTATTCTATAGACCAAGTGCACAGTTTCTCAATTTGTATTCTATAGACCAAGTGCACAGTTTCTCCATTTGTATTCTATAGACCAAGTGCACAGTTTTTCCATCCCCTTGCCCAGGTGTTAGCAAACTATTTAATCAAAAGAGCCAAAAATCAGCAACAGGACGATCAAACCGTTTTTGAGAGCCACGGCTCCACCAACACCACTCTCCAAGTCACACATCACGGCTCCACCAACACTCTTCCCCTAGTCACACATCAACGCTCCACTAATACCCCCCCCCCCCACCCTCTCCACCACATATCAGGCTTCACAAACCCCAATCCCATCCTCCATTAGTCAAACATCATGCCCTCACAAAGATTTCCTTACCACACATCAATCCCCCCCCCCCCCCCCCTCCCCCCCCCCCCCTCTTTTTTCCAAAAAAAAAAAAAAACACACACACACATTTTAACAGAATGACCTCAAACGCCTGATACTACACAAGACAAGGCGGCAGAAAAAAAAAAAAAAACTAGTCCAATCGCCGTAACCCCGAACAGCAAATCCCTGATAAATTCTAACAGTGTCCACCTCGCAAATATCGCAGCTATGCTGTAAAAAAAAAGCTGCAAAGCAATAAAGCTCAAAACAAACAATGAGAGGAACGACGAAGAAACCAAGAAACCCGACCGGTCAGGAGAATCAAAAATGTTATCAAAGTCCAGAATGCCACAGTTGAAGAACATGCTCGACAGGACAATACGTGCACACACGGCCGGCGGATGAACGTCGCAGGCAGACAATTAATTCTCAGACTGAGTCCTTTACTTGGGAAATTACACCACTTGTGCCGGACAATTTCGCTTGCTTCTAAAAGAAGTTTGAACGTGGTGCCCTTTCCCAGCAAATCGTTCTTTCCTCTTTTATTTCATTCTGTCTACCTACGCACTAAGCTTTTTAAAGATGTGGCCTGCTTGTTCAATTCTAAACTGGAAGGTTAAAGTTCAATTCTATCCACTCATCCATCCAATACCTCCATGTGTCTGATGGATGCCATCTGTGTGTCTGTTAGCTAGCCCGTGGTTTCTATTTGCCGTCAGGTGCCATTTGAAGTTTCCACTTGCAGCCTGGTGCCTGAACCTAGCCGAGCTAAACGTCTGGTCCCCGATATGACCCCGGAACCCACACCGGGTATTATCGGTGACCGGGTCTCCCACTGGCTTGCCGGTAGACGAACTCGTCTACAGTTAGAAACGTATTTGGGTCTATCTCCTGGACTTCAACACTGCAGGAGTCCTTTTCAAGGCTTTTGGTGGCGTGCAATGCTAAGACATTTTATATTGCGCACATAACCTAGTCGTCACAATTATAACCTAAAGGTCCCTCTTCATGAGTGCAGGTTGAACGTGACGATTGTTTTCAGCAAAGCACCTACCTACCTACCCACACTAGAAAAATATATAAAGATGTCAGAACCATGTTAACCCACTGCCTTCCCAGCAAGCGTGTCGTAAGAGTCGACTGACTGGGGGGGGGGGCTTCCTTTGAAGTCCAAGTGCATCTGCCTAAGAGGCTAGGGACCAACAATCTGCATACAAATAAGTCAGATATGTAAAACAGATGTGCACGCAACACTTGTTCTGGAACAAAAGACTAAAGTCTACAAATTTCTGCCGGAGTTTACAGCCGGTGAACGCGAAGAAGAAGAAAGAAGAGAAATCACGTTAAAAGACCAACCGGCACTCGAAGGCTTATGTTCCAACTGGTTCGGCCAGCTGGCCAGCTATAATTCCTTCAAAAACTAAGTTGTATAGATCTGTAGAGGAAATGAGTCGTACCTTATGCCTACTGAATTTTTTCTTTTTCGCGTTCACCAATAGAAAGATAACAACTGACTGAAATACAGCAGTCAGTATTATAACTGGTGGAAATACAGCAGTCAATATAACAACTAGGTGAAATGCAGCAGTCAATATAACAACTGGGTGAAATGTCAATATAACAACTGGGTGAAATGTCAATATAACAACTGGGTGAAATGTCAATATAACAACTGGGTGAAATGTCAATATAACAACTGGGTGAAATGTCAATATAACAACTGGGTGAAATGTCAATATAACAACTGGGTGAAATGTCAATATAACAACTGGGTGAAAAACAGGAGTCATTATAATAAATGGGTTAAATCCAGCAGTCAATATAATAACTGGGGAAAAAAAAGAGCAATCAATATTACAACTTCCTGAAATACATCAGTCAATATAACAACTGGGTGAAATACAGCAGTGAATTTAACAACTGGGTGAAATACTACAGTCAATTTAACAGCTGAGTGAAATACAGCAGTCTGTATTACAACTGCGTGAAATACAACAGTCAATATAACAACTAGGTGAAATACAGCAGTGAATTTAACAACTGAGTGAAATACAACAGTCAATTTAACAACTGGCTAAAATACAGCAGTCAATATAACAATTGGGTGAAATGTCAATATAACAGCTGGATGAAACGTAAATAGAACAACTTGGTGAAATGTTAATATAACAGCTGGGTGAAATGTCAGTATAACAGCTGGGTGAAATGTCAATATAACAACTAGGTGAAAAACAGCAGTCAATATAACAACTGGGTGAAAAACAGGAGTCATTTTAAAAAAATGGGTTAAATCCAGCAGTCAATATAACAACTGGGGGGGGGGGGGAATTAATATTACAACTGACTGAAATACTTCAGTGAATATAACAACAGGGTTAAAAAAAACAGCAGTCAATATAACAAGTGGGGGGGGGGGGGGGAAGGGGAAATACAGCAGTCAATATAACTGGTTGAAATAGTAAAGTAAAGTAAAGGTCCCTTTTCCACACTCTTAGGCGTACTGGGCACAGAGGACTACACCCATGGTTTATGGACCACTCAGTGGGTTATGTGGCCGAAATCCCGCTGGCCGTCTTTACTTCCTAGGACTATACCCGATGCCCACTGAAGGATGGATTTACCTGAGAGCCAAAGTATTAAAAAAATTCTGGCTTCATCAGGATCCGAACCCCACGGGCTTTCGCGAGCGTCTAGCCGCTACACAACGGCTTACGTTTAATGTATCGTTAGCCCGGTTTGGTGACATCAGCAGCATGGCCCGTCAGATGGAGACGGTCTTGGCTGCTTCCGCTAACATAAATCTGGAAACAATCCACACACACACACACACACACACACACACACACACACACACACACACACACACACAGGGAACCGTTCCAGTACCAATGACGTCACACCCAGACGCTATAAACGGGCACAACTCAGTCCGGGCACGGAGACTATTTCCACATTGGTCTGACCTCACCCCGGGACTCAAGTGAGTCAAATAAAGCACCATTGGTTCTTGTGTTCTATTTCACCCATCTCGAATGGTCCGAGATTTCGTAGGGAATTCTCGGGAAAGGAAAATATTATAGGGTAAACATAAAAAATAATATTTTTAAAAAAAGGGGGGGGGGAAAGTGGGGGGGGGGGGGGGGGGGGGGGGTAATTAGGCTGGTCTTCTACTTTGCGTTCACCGGCAGAAAGTTCTGGTTGCTCGTCCACTTCTTAGTGTTATTCCAAAAAACGAAGTGTTCCGTGTACATCCGTTTCACAGGTTTGACTCATTTGCACGCAGACTGTTGGTTCATTGCCTCTCATGCAAATGTACTCCGACTTGGAAGGAAGCTCCCAATCAGTCGACTCTTACGACATACTTGTTGGAGAGGCAGTGGATCTGTTCTTGTTTTCCCCACAACGGGGTCTTGGGAACTCATTAGGAGGGGGGAGGGGGTGATAGCCTAGTGTTAGTCGGTGTTCATCTCACATCTTAACACCCCTATACTATTAGACTTTCCCGGGATTTCCTGCGAAATTTTAGTGCCCCCGAAAAAGGGTGAAGTAAAAGAAAAGAACCGAATCACGTTTACGTGCCAGTGGTGCAACAGGAATATTTTTATTTTACCTAAAATTCGGAACTCGGCGGTAGCCGATGTGGCCAACATTAGACCGGCTGCATTTACTTCTCAGGACACTTCCTGGAACACATTCAAGGCTGGGTCGACTAAGTTAATGCAGATTCGAACCCAGCTCTCAGGTCGGTAGGCGAGCGATTAGCCGCTACACCACCGCGGTTCTATGTCTAGGTTTAAGTGTTTGAACGAAATAGCGATGACAATTTGGACGACCATAATCTTCTTCTTATTCTTCTTCTTCGTTTTCTTCGCGTTCACCGGCTGTAAATTCCGGCAGAAAGTTTCGGGTTTCCTCACTCTGTTTCTAGAACCTGCGTGTTGCGTGCACACCCGTTTTACAAATCTGACTTATGTTTATGCAGATTGTTAGTTCCTTGCCTCTCAGACAGATGCGTTCAGACTTCGAAGGACGCACCTAGTTAGTCGACTCTTACGACATGCTTGTTAGGGAGGCAGTGAGTCTATTCCCCCCCTCCCCCCCCCCCCCCCACACAAAAAGGCCCCGGAAACCACACCGGGAACCGTAGTCATGATCTTCTGCAAGTTATCGCCTAATGGAACAGAAAGTCTACATTCTTATAGTCTCTTAAAGCGCACTCT